ATGTCGTCCCTTATAAGACTAGGATTTTAGCCATGAGTGGTGTTCGCCAGTCTATGTTGATTACTGAGTGGAATTCAGCCCTCCGTTTTGCCCTGGTAGACGGCAACATCGTTTCAAACAATCAGTAATCCGGAGGCATTACGGTAATTGCTGTGGAGACTGGAATAACCGGAGATAGAGAGAGAAGTCCGAGGTTTGGACCTGCTCTCGCATTACCACTAAAACTAACACTCTGTTAGTCGAACTACCAGTTGACGTCGTTGTCGAATCGTGATTGGTCAACAAGGGCAAGTTTCCCAAACCAAAGATCAGGAAGACAGAATTAGTAGGACAACTTTGATTGCATCAAGGAAGATCTCAAGCAGCCCAAGCAGCGGCAATTGTTTTGACCACGATAAGGGCCAGCTGTTGATGTTTTCAGCCCCGACAAAGGGTGCTTGCGAGCCCCCGGACTTTGTCGGATTTCAGCCAGTCGTTGAAGACAGAAACATCAATTGGCGTCTCATTGTCGATGGGCTGAAGTCTGTTTCAGGCGGCGATATTTGAGGCGAAATAGGAATGATATCCTCGGGGCTGGATTGCTTGTTTATCGGAGTAGAGTTTTATAATTTTTCATTGGAAGCTGGCTGCAGTTCTCGCAAGCGGTCATGTGGCGAAAGGAACCAGTGGTCGATAAGTATGATCGACGAAATAACCATTTAAAGCCTACAATACGTCAGATCGCAGCCGAGCGCTGCGTACCTCTGCTTTATCTGGCAGCGTGTCGAAACAGTCGACTGAGACCGGGTTCATACTTTAGGTTTTCGACGGTTGGGAAACCAGAACAGGTCCCCGTAGTCTACCGTCACGAAATAAACGACATACGTGTCACTAATATTGCAATACTGTTCTCACAATAAGGATGCGATGATAATACGGTAAGCATCGATAATACTGTTGCGACGACTGCACCTGATGAGACTAGCGTTCGTTACTACTACTACTACTACTACTACTACTACTACTACTACTACTACTACTACTACTACTACTACTACTACTACTACTACTACTACCATCAGCATCGCTATTATTATTACTCCGATGAATTATAATTGTTCTCCCTCGCACACCTTTACTACAGCCCATGACAGTTCGACCATCGGTTTCGATGATGTCCACCGTGTGCCCCACAGTTGCAGCAGCAATGGGAGCAGGGACGGTGACTTACGCAGGGGTTTATAGTGCCGGTAGACTTGCGTAGCGTCTACCTACACTCTCTCCTCCTCCCTCGCCCGAGCCCGGTGTCAAGACAGAGTCAAGAAGACCGGAGACGAGAGAGGCCGCAGGTGAATGGCTCGGACGGACCCTCACCTTGGCGTTCCACCACACCCCCTTGGTCACACAACAAATAACCAGGATTTCAACCAACACAAGAGAGATTTGGAGGCTGGCACGACCGAGGCCGCACCTGGGCGTGCCGCCAACGCCTGGCTCGGATCCCACACTGTGATGGGAGTGCCATAAAGGCCACATTAAAAAGGAGCCATTGCAGCCTGACTCTCAGACCGCCTCCGGTCAAGGAGGAGGTCCAAGGTACCCCGTCAGTTGGCAGCCTTCCAAGCCACGGCTTTTAGCGCACCGTGATAGCTTCAAGCGCGTCAGATTGTTTATAGTGAGGAAAATGCGCTGAGTCGTCGACCTCACTCTCCCTTCCCACTCCCACACCCCAGCCGCTGTCCGAGCCGGTCAGCAGACTGGAGTGGGGAATGGGCGCGGTGGCTGTCATGGTCGAATGACCATGACTGCGCGTGTCACGGCACGACCTGGCCCCCCATGCACACAACACCAGGATTTCACACAACGGGGGTTGAACGGCGTGTCTCTCACTTGCGTGAGAGTGCCATGGAAGGTGCTGTTTCAGCCCGTTCCCGGCCCACCAGTCCGCCACTCCACACAACACACACACACACACACACACACACAACGCGACGAACTGCGTAAACCGAGAGCGGGCGTCAATCAGCAACCTTCCTATCCACGACGCTTGACGTGTCCGGATAGTCTCGGACTCAAGTCACCCGTGCAGCCGAAGCCGCATGGGGACCGAATTCAGCCCATAAGTGCTTCTTCAACTCACCATTTTGAATTTGCGCCAGACAAAGCGCAACACCCCTTTGTTGTGTTCTTCAACAGCACGACAGAAACCTGCTTGAAAGGAGTCAAGAATAGAAATTGTACGCAAAGCCAATTTTAACCGGCTCCAATCATAAAGCAGAGAGAACTGGGAGTTTCAAAGTCCCTTCAGGACTTTTGAGTCAAGGGCTGACGTGTGAACAAGTACGACAAGTGAATTCGCCTCTTGCTGTCAGGAAATGTAAGATCAGGTATTATAATTCGCCCTGAATATAAACTTAACTTCCTCCTCAACTCCTTTGATTCGTCGTCCCAGAATGACACCAAGAAGCTGAAGATGCATCACTGGGCAACTCATTTTGAGTGTGTTCAAGAGACATCTGGATAATCGCCTGTTAAAAAACAACCGAACTTTCCAAGCCCGACCTACCGACTTACTGAAATGACTATAAACATGCTACTAATATAAATTCAACGGGCTGTTTTGTGTACATAAGCGTTGACTCAGGTGCAAATTTTCACAGTGCGAATGCGGTGAGCGATTTTTTCGCTGTTATTCCAGAAATGCCACATCTATTTCACATTTATGTTCCACCATTAGATTTATGCATTCTGCACACTTAACCTACATGTAAATTTTTTTAGTTGAGTATTCTCACTCAGGCCTTTACCGTTGACATGGACTTCTGTCATTTACTCCAAATAGACTGAATGATACAGAATGAAATATAATCTTTCCCTCCAGGCTTAACCGAACAGCTCGGACTAGTATCTTCAGCACGGGTGGTCGGGGACTAGGAGTGTGGCACAAATTCCCAGATCCTCACAATGAAGAGCAGTTTCCTTTGACTAGAGTTAATAAGGCATGCGCTCGAAACCCATTCAAGCTGCTTATTGTAAAAAAGAAGGACCACCTACTCAGTGCTGGTTGGTAGAAGTGCACAACAGTTTCACTCCGACATTTTTTGATATTCTCGATATCCCTACGTCCAGACGAAAGACTCCTACACTCTTATACTTTCATGGGGATATTATTAGGACTTGGCACTATGATAGGCACATCCCCGTCTCCTCTGTCAGTCTTAAAAACGGGAAGGGCATACAACGTATTTTGCGCTCCAAAGTTGGGCCGCAGCTTCGCAATCCCTATCTGAAAGTCACAGTGGTGAATTTTTCATTTTCATCATCGCTATATAGGCCTTCAAGGACCCAATATGCATCATCAGTAATTTTAACAACAACGTCAACATGACAGCTCACAAGTTTGTTTTGCTGGAGAGGAAAGCTCAGTAAATTACGTCTGCGAGATATTTCAAGACGTTTTATTAATAAAGTATACATTAAGGGGTAGCCAATTTTGTCTTCACTGCGTTTTGTCTCGTCGGCAGGAGCGAAAACGACAGAGGCTGCCGAAAGTCAGCAGACTAAATTTTTGCGAAAGAGGCCTTTGTTTTAAAGCGTGATTACTACACAGTCTGTGGTGAAAAAAATGCGTATGATGGAACGGAATGAGTTTTGCAAATGAATAAATTCCATGAAAATACAAATAATAATCCAAAAATAGACTCTTAAACCATATAAGTTGTCCCAAGTAGGCGAGCCTTCCTCAGATCATGCAGCTTAAGAAGCCAAAATCGTTGAAGTTACGGCTAATGGACTGGTGGAGAGATAGACAAGGCGATCTTCCAGGTTAACAATCACCACGAAAACCTTTCCGCTGTATAATGGATGTCGTTTATTGTTTAGTTTGTCTAAGATAAATTTCGGCACATGTAACTAAGGACCACAAGGTTGCATGAAAAAAGAACTTTTAGTAAAAGTTATCATGAGAATCTACGCGTACGGCTTAGAAAAGCATTCATGAAGACCGACCGGTTTGACGTGCGAAACACCCGAGTTGTAATAGTTCTGTTGACAAAAGCAGAATTGACGACCGATTTCGATCTTTTTGGCAATCAGTTAATAGGGAAGTTACTCAGGTATATAATCGCCGCGACAAAAAAACCTAAGTCTCCTTGATATCCTACTTTAATAAAAGTAGCTAGTACTTTACCATGAACAAAACCTCGAACTCTTGAATAAACTTTCACTTTTTGCGAGCAACTGTTTACCCTGAATCTTTATAAATATAGTTCCAAATCATGCAAAATTCTTCCTGACCCCTAATGTACGCACATATCCATCAGAGTTTACTTTAAAATATGTGTGCATACAAAGTTCACAGTTCGCGTTCAGAAGCCAATACTTGCTCTTAATTCCTTTTGTTACCTAGACATTGCTACTTTGCAGGCAGTTTCCTCTAACAGTTGTACCAGAACGCTTGGTTCAAGTGCGAAACTAACCTCATTCAAAATGAAATCCGAAATAATACTATAAATCGCGTAGTATAAACTAAACTTAGTTTGGCTTCAAATTGTTATGCAAGTTACGCGTAGAGACTTATCAAATTATACAAGGATGCAATCAAACTGTATCTTTGTCATTTCTCCCTTCTATGTGGAAGAAAGTTTAGGTAGCAATGCAACGCAACTTAAATGCAGTGGAGATGAAGTCCGACGATGAGGGTAATGTTAGCCAAATTCCTAGTACTGTGCCAGTCGTTCTAAAATAAGAGCCAGAACTTATGTCGGAGTCTTATTTTATTTCATTTTGTATATTACACTAACAATAAAGATTCCAATTTTCAATTGGCAAAGGGCAAAAAGAGCATTTTCTTTTAGAAATTATTTAAGTTTGAGCATCTTTCATGCATAAAAAGGTGTAGTGACAAATAGAGTCATGAATCAGTAGCCACAATTACATTATATGCAAAACTCTTCTCACATGAGGAGGCCATGTGTTAGCAGGGAAATAAATAGTTTTCGCTGCTTCCACAAATATACAGGTCACTTTCCCTCCCTGTTTTTGTAAAGAAACGCGGCCAGGTACTCAATAGGCCGTTCAGGTCTTCAACATGAGATTAAGACAAAGTAGTTTACCTTTCACGATTTAAATACCGCAGCCCTTGTATCAAAACGGGAACCAGTTGGTTTTCGAGATAGGGCCTCAAGGGGAGACTGTGGATGGCTGATATTTCATTTTTGTTCTTTTCCTCATGCAAAATATACTTGGAGATATCTAAAATGTATTGGTTTAACAGGTCTTCCACTTTCGAAATCCTATCATTTGCGTCCATTTGAAATGGAGGATATCCATGTAATCACACTATAACAACTTAAACAAATTATATGACCTTGAGTGCCCGCAGGCAAGTTACGCACGTTGCAAATCGAGAGGCGTAAAGTGGGATTAAAAGCACAGGAATTTTGAGCCGAAGTTGCATAATGCACAGTCGAAAAGACTGTCCAGTAAGGCAGGGCGTGCAGATATGCTTGCTGTTCTCCCACTTATTTCATCTGCATAATTCGATATTCGGTCGCGTGCATTACATGCTTTCTAAAATAGTTAAATTTGTTTATGAAGAGCACGCTACGCTAAGAGACATCATGCACAAACAAACCTACATCGATTCATGGAAAGGTATAAAACCCAACTTTCATTCTCAGATAATTGTGTCAACACAAAATGCAACTCCTGGAACAAATTCGAATTTTTCGCAAATACCAGTTGGAAAAACGAAAGATCACAAAATAATTTGTGTTTCAGTCGCCCTGACTTTTAAAGCGGCTCTATACTTAGTAGTCACTCTGAAAATATACAGGTAAAGTGGCTAAACCAGGCACGGGTATGATCAGCGGACAGCAAAACCCGCCGGAATGCTTCGAGTGAGCCTAAGAGACAGTCTTCATTTTGTCACAACAGGTTAACTTACTAATGTCTATATTATTCACTTAAACATATCAGTAGCTGCAACACTTCTACCCATTCCTCCAGCTCCGAGATATGTGCACTGAGATGGTTTCCATGATAACCAGATTATGTTAGATTTACGCAATCTGACGTAAACTGGTTACCATGAAAACTATTGAATCACACGAGAAGATTGCTTTATTTTTCGTACTAACTGTTTGTTGACTCTGCCAAAGTGGACTGCATGACCTGCCAGTTATATGGATGAAGCTGGTTTCAGAATATGTTGGGGGATGCTCTAAATCCATAGGTGCGCATCTACTTTACTCATTCTGGGCTCGTAGACCAGACAATATAACCTTTGGATATTGTAACACGTTAATTATTGAGTAGAAAGGCAGTTTTTGTGCTGCTGGTGGAGTCTTCATAATCAAAAGTACTTCCGCTCTCCTAAGAAAGCCTTCTTAATCAATTAGTTGAAGCTCTTAAGGACTTCCGCGTTAACGAAGCCTTGTCAAATTGAGATTGTATGTCTGCACCGATGGACTCAAAATTGCTCATAAGTAAAATGAGATTTGGATTGCTTATTTTATATGAAATACAGTTTAAATAGTCACTGTCGAATACGCAACATTATGAAGTAGTGTCAACTTAGGTACATTGACACTTTTGTCGCTACGAATTTGTGGCGGTCAAGGATGTGAGATCGACTTAAACCACGCACAATAAGTTCGTTTCGTCTACTGTCAGAAGTCAGGGAGCTGTGAGGACTAG